GGGCTACAATCATGCCTCATTAAGAAAGGTTTTGGTTATATTTTAGAGTTTCTGAAAAAACTGGTTTTCTAGAAAACCGGATCTTCGAAGGGCGACGGGCCATCCCCATGGTCATATTTGTAATCAGCATGATCGATAACCTATAATTCACCAGATTCCGGACAAAAAGCGTTTTATTACCTTGAGAGGTTCCCTCGTCAGAGATGAGACATGTCTCAATTTAATCAGAAACATTTTTACTTGTGCAAATTGGTACCATCGAAATAACAGAGTGGCACAGTCCATCCCTTTTTTAAGAGACTGATAACACACTATCAACGTTTATGAGTTGGAAATCGCACAGTATGTCATCTAATTGCGATCCGAGTGTACATGAGAGAGCATCATTTAGCGTTCATGACTTAGTTCCGACATTGATAGAAGACCCCATTGGGCGACAGGGCGAAACACGCCAATCTATTTTATCAAAAATAATCAAAAGATACAAGCATAAATTCGATAAGCATAAAACTCGTTAATACATCGTTTGGAAGTAGCCCCACTGATGTCGAGCACATGTCGGTATAGAACCGAATGGGCTTGTGTCAAAACATTGGGAGACCACAAGCAAGGAGCAGATACGTGGAAGAACTCCGAGGGCCATGTGTCCTTGCTTGGCAGTCGAAAAGTTAGTAAGTGTTTATGTATACAGAGCTATGTCTATTGTTCGGAAGAGCTAATTTCTGCTTGATAATGATGTTGTGGGACCAACCAGAGGCTGGTATGATTGTAGAAAAGAAAGAGCTGAAAACCATTAATAGCGTAGGACCAGCTGAAAAATGAGAGGTCTATAGAAGGCACTCATTGTTATTTCTATCTGAAGATGTTCTTTTATAATTGCCCTTGAAATTCTTTCTCTTACAAAACGGTTTAATAATCAGCTCATTCACTATGAATAATTTTTTCATGTTTTCTAGCTCATTAATAACAAAATTCTTTAACTTTCTCTTTTTATTAAGCTTTTATAAGAACAGAAAATAAATTGCGGCTTATTCTACTTGAACACGTTTGTTTTCGAATTACTACTGTGTAATGGAGTATTTTTTAAGACTACTTTTCTTTGGTATTTCCGCTTTAATTCTCTTGTCATCTACATGCATGAGAACTGATGGCATCTTGATAAAGATAAAATGAAAACTTTTCATTTCCATTTTTTTCTTAACTCTTCACAACGTAAAAGAAAGCTGTTTATTTTATCGTATTCGTTGATTCTTAACAATTGTCACCACTAGTGCTTTTAAGTAAAGTCAAATGCCGGTACCAGTACTCGTCATCGTTTGCCATATATTTGCTAAAGCCGAAAATGTTGATCATGTTAAAAATATACTTACAGCCTTAATTGAACCAACGAAGAAAGAAGAAGGGTGTATTCGAATTCGGCTCTTGGAGGATATTGCAGATAAAACTCATTTTACATTTATTTCTCAATGGGAAAGTGACGAAGTGTACGAAAATTATTTGCAGGCACTTTATATCGCTAAAGCTGGTGAAGATTTGAAGAATGAATTAGCAGAGGTGGCCGATGTGAAAAAGTATAAATATATCCAACATCCAGAGAAGAAAGAAGAAGCGAAGAATTCTAGCGGACGTTGTACTCTGCTGTAGTTATTTAATAAACATTTGGAAATAAATTACGTCTTAGACAAACTTTATTACGGAAACAAGACGAAATGTACTGAATGAATTCAACAAATAATTGTATGATGTGATAGTCATGTATGTAAGATGATGTTACATAACTGTAGCCGTAAGTGAGGACGTCTCCAAGATTTTAACCAGTGTATGTTTGAAAAGTGGAAGTACAAGCTTTTCTTCATTCTGAGATACTTGATAACTTTTTACTAACTGGAGCAATTTAGTGAAGTGACGAAGCCACAGGGACTTATGCGGGTGAGTCCCTAGTAATATTTTCGCTTTTCTATCATCAATACGCAAATTTTGTAATCTACACAAGTTTTTCTAAAATTTTTTGATGAACAACGTTTTTGCTAGGTATTTGTATAAAGCTTCTCGGTCGAATTTAATGGAGTTCATCGAGTTCTACTAGAAAACACGAAAGAATCCTCGAGAGTCGATATAGGTTGCAAGTGGGCTGTGTCTCATTCTTACATTGGAACAGAAGACAAGAAACTTCGGTGTCTATAGGTTTCTAAATACGCCGCTATATTAAAGAGCATTGGAGAGGTTCTCTTAAAAAGAAGTTTGCTCCACGGGTGGCTTATTAGTGACCTGTAATTTCCTATGATGAGAGAAATGATGTATATTAAGTGCTGAACTGATGTTTGACCTATATTTTACATTTTTCTATTTCTTTTTGTTCGATCAAGCATAATTAAATTTTTTTTCCGGTGGAATGTAAGATAGAAAGGAAGAGGAAAATAATAATAAAAAAGTAAGAAAAACGCAATTGAAAATTTCAGTATAGATAGGAAATGTGGAGAAAGAAAACGAAAAATGAAAGCAGCAACAATGGCGCGACTGTATTTCTACAGATTAATTTATCCATATTCGTTTTTAACAAGAAATTAAGACTATATAAACCCCATATTTCAGTTATGCACCAACGTTTTCCGAGGTCCGTTTTCTCCTAGGATTACCTGTATAAAACTAAACATCAAACTTCCAATTGTTTCGGAGAACGGATGTGTTCTTGATAGTTTTCATTGAAACCTCGCCAGCGATTGCACGATAACAAAGAATTTTCAAGAAAAATTTTCGCTAGCAAAGTTATAGCCTATGTCATTCTGCATGCCATAAGTAGAAGAGAATTTCAAAAGAAAAAGATTTGAGTAGAAGTTAAAGAAAATGTTTTAATTAATACTTTTTTAAAGGTTTTATCCTTAGAAAAGAAAAACTGTTAAGCTTATTTCATGTAGAGCTTTTTCTTTTCTTCTTTGGATTTTTTCATTTGAAATGTACGTCAACCGACATCCGATTGCTGACACTTGAGCGACCGACAATAGATAATTTTCAATATGACGTTTTTCCAATCAGGAAAATTTAATGCTTGTTCACTTCGATAACGATTAATAACGATCGTATAAAAATTTCTTTAAGTTGTTTATGGGCAAAAATTTTGAAATCAATAGAAGAAGTTTTACAGCAGCTTGTACTCTCATTATTTTATTCAAAGCTTCGAAACATGTTGAATAAAATAATGAGAGTACACGCTGCTGTAAAACTTCTAAAAATTTCTTTGTCGTATTCGAGACCTGTACGGCTTGTCCGAGCATGACGCCGTGAAGCTGTGACATTTCTGACACAGTAATTTGAGCTTTTCTCAAAAAGTGTAAGAGCTAGAAATTTCGGTCTTGCGCCATTCGACGCAGCTCGTGATAGTCTACGTCTGGTATAAAAATGAAGGTATGTGGTTAAAGACTCAAATTTTTAGAACCATTTTTCGGCGCGAATTTGGAGCTAATTTGCTGCGGATTTAGAAAAGCTAATAAAAAGGGCCTCGAGCAAAGTTTGTAGAGGAGTAAACGAGCTATTGATTGCTAAAAAAGAATCTCTCCATCCCTCTATAATTGTGTTTTGTCGTCGTGACGCTGTGACACACATTTTTCCTAACAAAGTTTGGAGCATGGCTCAAAGGATTTCACATCGGACTTAGTTTTAAGCATCTAATATAGACTAACGTGAAAATAAAGCTGAAAAAATGTTTTCACTTTCTTAGAATTGTGTGAGAATCTTAAAACTTAAAACTTTATTAAAAAGCTTGTTTTGAGTCTAAACTTCAAACGAAACATACCACTTTGTAGCGAATCGAATTCTCTATCGATTAGCGTGACCTTCCATTTTTATTAGAAAAAGCGTCTAAGTGAGAAAATTGAAAATGCAGTTTTCCAAAAATGTAAAACTGGATTTTTGGTGCCAAAAATTAACTTTCAAAAACAAATAATGTGAGATTCGTAATCAGCACTAAAAACTGCATCTAGTGATATGCTCCTTTGAGTTCTACTCTAAAATAATTTTTTCAAAAAGTTGATCAGCGAAGTCTCGAGTTACGTGGACAAGCCATGTAGAGGGTGAGGATGAATACCTTTAATTAATGCACTTTGCTCAATTGTCAGTGTCGCTCAAATGTCAGTCGCATATTTTAGCGTCCTGAACACTCAGAAATAATTAGAGATACCAAAACAAGAGCTTTGTTTGCTTTCTAAAGCTAAATGAAAAAATCGAAAAAATTCGTTATTTTCGGTATGAATACCGATACCGGTGCATACCTATGTACAAGTACAGAACAGTGTAACCAGACAGTTTATGAACCCTAGAGAAAGTACTTGTGTCCGACTACTTGCGACAAGTACTCCGCTTGTGTAATGAAGCCGGTACTTGTCTTTTTTCCAGAAGTAAATTTACTTGTCTACTTGTCTACTTGTCAGTACTTGTTCAGCGTGTAAGTACTTGATTTTTCACTTGGCAAGTACTTGTTCAAGCGCTTGTCAAGTAAAATTGGAAGTACTTGGATTGTTTTCAGGGTAATACTATTCGAGTGTTTCTGTACTGTCACTTAATATTTACTTTGCGAACTTACATTATTCTATGTCTGAAGACAACAAAAAAAACACGTTTTCCTAAGGATAGGTATAGTGTTCATGTAAATAGGTAGTAGCGAGCGGTCCTAACCTGTCTTATTCAAGCAACTGCTGATTTTAACCCTATTTTTAGTTAAAAAAAGAGTGTTTGTAAGTAGTAAATAAGTAAAACTGACATCTTAGACAAATAGAGATTGTAAACAAAAGAGTAAGATACAGTTTAACAAATTAAAACAAGAGATAAAACAATAAAATAAATTTTCTTAATAATATTATATATGCATGAAGAAAATGTTGGAATGTCAAAAAGTTTTTCTTTTTCACTCTTTCTTTATGTACAAATCGCTACATAAGAGTTCACCAACGTTAAGATAAATTGTTTGTTGTTTTTCGAAATATGAAGTGTTCGATTAACTCTTTTTAACAAACCCTTTTGATCTTTTGCTCAAACTGGAAAATCCTTTGCTACTGGAAAAACCCAAAACTATGTTTTCCTAAACCAAATGCGTTTAGGAAAAAACGTTTCTAATTTTTACCAAAGCTAGAAAAACCCTTCGACTCTGTCTAAAAAAACAATTTTTAGTTTTTTAGTCAAACAGAAAAAAAACATTTTGGTTTTTAAATTCGCTTTTTTCGGTTTAGGATGATAAAAAAGCCCTTACTTGCCAAGAACTTTCACAAAGTACTTCTTAGCAATAAAAGTAAGCATTTTTATCATTAAGAAGTACTTCTGAAAGTACATGGCAAGTGAGAGATTTTGAAAACACTCGCTAATTTTTTCAAGTACTTACCAAGTAATCAAGTACTTGCATCAAGTACGTTCTATCGGAAAGCCAATGCCTATATCCAGAATTCGTGAACATTTTTGGAAAATCTTAAATCATAAAACATCACCTTCTACCACATTCTTGCATTTGTTTTACACTTAGCTTTATTAGAAATTGTTTCAATATTATCAATTGTATAAGATCGTAATAAACAATTAGCGTTCTCAATCAATTAATCACTTGATTGACATGTATAAACAGTAGAATCGGACCTAGTGTAATCTAATCCAGTTCAAGAAAGTACGTACTATTGCACACTTCGAATATGCACCTGACTGGGACCACACGTATCCCTGTAACAAGCACGTCCGAATATCTCATGAATTTTTGTCAAAATCCAGTAAGGTAAAAAATACTTAGCACATTTAGTGGCGCTATCTGATGGAGATCATGGACAATTCGCATCCGCGGCGAACTGAGTTATTCTCTACTATTTTGTGCGGTATGTGACATGTCTTCAGACTGGCTACAGACTTACAATGTTTATCTTTTTCTCGCATTAGTTCAA